TTCAACCACTCACTCAAACAGTCGGTGATTCAACCACTCACTCAACCAGTCGGTGATTCAACCACTCACTCAACCAGTCGGTGATTCAACCACTCACTCAACCAGTCGGTGATTCAACCACTCACTCAACCAGTCGGTGATTCAACCACTCACTCAACCAGTCGGTGATTCAACCACTCACTCAACCAGTCGGTGATTCAACCACTCACTCAACCAGTCGGTGATTCAACCACTCACTCAACCAGTCGGTGATTCAACCACTCACTCAACCAGTCGGTGATTCAACCACTCACTCAACCAGTCGGTGATTCAACCACTCACTCAACCAGTCGGTGATTCAACCACTCACTCAAACAGTCAGTGATTCAACCACTCACTCAACCAGTCGGTGATTCAACCACTCACTCACTCCCCCATGCACACCTTCTTCCCATCTGTGTGGCATCAGTGAGTTTATGGGCTGTTCCTGGCAATATGTTACAATTTATTAGACGTGTATCCATAAAGTACAAAACACTAATCATAAATTCCAAAAATATACTTAACTATCCTCTCAAAATACTTCTTGTATCGAGGGATACCGGTACCATCACCTGGTCTGTCAGGTCTATAGCAACCACCGTGGCAAGATGTAGTTCAGATGGGAGCTCTGTAGTTAGAGTGTTGGCCAGCATCAGATGCTGGAGTGTAATGGAGAATCGGTAGGCTGGCAAGATGATGAAGTCCTCTCACAGCCCAACTACTGACAACTGTAATCTAGACAACAAAATATACTACTCAATACAAGTAAAAAACATGGCATGACAGATTGATTACAGTCATGTGAAAGGATTGGGTGTTATTTAACTTTCTGTGTAGCATACGTCAGAAGCTTGTATTTGAATGCTGTGTGTATATCACACCACCAGAATGACTGGTCACATGGTCATCCTGACCCACTATGTATGCTGGACATTGTGTCGGGGTAATGACGTGACATTGCTCCTGGATCACCCTCCAGGCATTCCATCATTGAACTTTGAGTTATACTACTTGAGTTGAATACATCAGAGTGGCTCAGGCGATGACAGAGGGATCCTCCATAACTCCACCGGCATCCCAAGCCGTTGTATCTCAAGTCTTCTAGGGAAACAATAAATATCATCTTTAAAATACGAAAAAATGTTTGAGACTTTCACAAACTGCCTGTTATCATGCTAACATTCACAGTGATTCTGTGGTTTGGTTGCTATGCACCTTGCTCCTACCTTACATGAAAGGGTTTGACATGTGAGACCCTCATTACTTGAGGCGCTCGTCTGGTGTGTCTGCTACAGTTCTTGTCCACTCTATTAAATATTAACAGTACAAGCTTTGATGCCAGTCAGTAACATAATTATTGCCTCACCTGCAGGGTTTACCATAGTATGTTGTACTCCAGTAGCATTACCGTTATATGTAGTATTTCATGTGATAAGATGATGATATGTAGTATTTCGTTTAATAATGTGATGATATGTAGTATTTCGTGTAGTAAGGTGATGATATGTCATATTTCGTATAATAACGTGATCATGTGTAGTGGTTTGAGTAACAGAACCATAGTATGTTGTACTCCTAGTAGCATTACTGTGATATGTAGTATTTAAAATACGCAGCTATAAATGTTGTGTTTAAAATAACAGATCTGTAATATCTAGTGTTTAAAGTAACACAGCTTTAATATGTAGTGTTTAAAGTAACATATCTGCAAGAAACAAGATACCACAAAAACGTTCCATGTAGAAACAGCGACAATATTCTATAAACTACATAAACAAGATATATAATAAGTCAGAGTAACAAAACATATACTAATACAAATGTGTGTAGTGACCAAAGACAATCTAGAAATATTCTAGATTTGTTTGAAGTTGTATATATGGTAACAGATTATTTCTATGCTATCTAGTTCATTATTTGTAAACAGGAGGCTACTTTCTTTCTGTGAGGTCAAGGCTTTGAGAGTAATTAATTTGAGAAGAAAGGGAATTGAATAAGGAGTGTCTTACATCTGAATATTTACTACAAGACATGAAATAGTGTTATTCATCCTCAAGGACTGAGCATTGATCAACAAGACGGTCCTCCAAAGGTGTAGGTGGTCTTGTTCTTCTACCCAGTTCAAGTTTTAACCTGTGATCACTCAGTCTTAGTTTTGTGAAGTGGATATGTTGCTTTTATATCTTGCAGTGTTCTAGGTTCAAGTTTAATTTCTGATTCAAATGTTCTAGGTATGGTTCAAGTTTAATTTCTGATTCAAATGTTCTAGGTATGGTTCAAGTTTAATTTCTGATTCAAATGTTCTAGGTATGGTTCAAGTTTAATTTCTGATTCAAATGTTCTAGGTATGGTTCAAGTTTAATTTCTGATTCAAATGTTCTAGGTATATATGGTTCAAGTTTAATTTCTGATTCAAATGTTCTAGGTATGGTTCAAGTTTAATTTCTGATTCAAATGTTCTAGGTATGGTTCAAGTTTAATTTCTGATTCAAATGTTCTAGGTATGGTTCAAGTTTAATTTTTTATTCAAACTTTCTGTATGTTCTAAGTTTGTTCCTTGAATTTAATGTCTTTGGCATATCTTGAAAAAGCAAGTGGAATATGTCTGTAGATTTCAGTTGGAGGTGTTTAAACACAGAGGAAGAAGTTTGATCACTTTCCTTGATATTAAAGTTATTTAAGAGGCAACTGAGTTTATAGTACCATCCAATTTTGTGCTTGGCAATAGTTATTGATTCATTAAAAACATGTTTTAAAATGGTATTGGGAGACTGTAAAATATGTCTGTGGAATTGAACAATGGATTTAATTACTCTGAATAATAGGGGAAACAAACCATTCTAGGCTCTGCATGCCCAGTTATGTGCTTGCTGAGAAACTGTAAATGTAGTGTTTAAAGTAACAGATCCGTTATTTGTAGTGTTTAATGTGACAGAGCAGTAATATGTCAGGCTCCATGTAAGAGGCCCAATATATCTGCTGAAGTATGTTAGTGCAATTTTCCTGTTTAGTAGATTGAGAATGATGGAGCATGTTCAAGACAATAATTGTCTTATCAACCAATTAATAGCCATCGTGAGTTGACCACCAAGAGCTGTCCACTCACTACAAACATCTGCTGACCAATCAGATTGCAGGAGCAGGTCATGACCTCTCACAGGCTTTATGCATTGAATAGCACTAATGACCGCAGTAATGCCATGAATCTCGATGTGGACGGCCCTAATCACAACACATGCCAGTAGTTATCAAGTTATGGTCACAAAGTGGTCAGTAATTGGTCATCAATAAGCACATCACAAAGCAATTGTCTAAAATTATGGCCAGATCGGCTAATAGTTTCAATATGGTACCTCCCTTTGCTACAGAGGGGTCAGAATATGTGAATTGCTGTCCACCCCTCCGTCCATCCTATCAGGTGAACAATCTCCCCCATTCCCCTTTCCAATCTTGAGGGTCAGTAATTGGTTATCTGTAATCTCATTTGCCTATAGTTATGACCAGGAGGTCTAATAGTTTCAGAATGGTTTAGGACCTTGAATGCAGGAAATAGCCTGCTCCACAAGCTGATGGGGCGAGGCAAGGTGAAATACTATCCTTTCCTTCCACCTCCAGCTGAAGGGGGTCAGGCAAGGTGAGCTTCTCTCCCTCTATGCTGGGTTTGAGGGTCAGGCTAGGTGAGCTTCTGTCCCTCCAGCCTGGGTTTGAGGGGTCAGGCAAGGTGAGCTTCTGTCCCTCCACCCTGGGTTTGAGGGGTCAAGAAAGGTGAGCTTCTGTCCCTCGATCCTGGGTTTGAGGGGCCAGGTTGAGTGAGCTTCTGTCCCTCCCTCCCTGGTTTGCGGGGTCTGGCAAGGTGACCTTCTGTCCCTCCATCCTGGTTTAGAGGGGTTAGACTAGGTGAGCTTCTATCCCTCCTTCTTGGATTTGAGGGGTCAGGCAAGGTGAGCTTCTGTCCCTCTACCCTGGCTTGAAGGGTCAGGCAGGGTTAACTACTGATCTTTGTTGGGGTTAACCCTGGTGGTCAAGCACAGGTGTGTTTACTGACCTGAGAACTGGACACTGGGTATTTGTCAAACATGAAAGAAAGCATAAATTGTCACAGAGTTGTATACCCATTGTAATAAAGCATGTCTATATGAGATATGTTTGTAGTTAGCAACAGGAGATTAATGGGATCAGTTGAATATGTCAGAATATGAATCTGTGGGAGTGAAAGAATGTATGGGACAGGGTTGTGGTTAGCGCTGAGCTAATCTATTAGCATGTGGGCTTTCTTGGATATATTTTACTTCAGGGTCTGTCACGACAAGGACATGAGCACCACTCTTCATTCCTGATTGTATTGTTATTCTGACCAAAGTTCCTCCCTTATGTTATGGGTACCTATGTGATATGTTGCCAGCAGTATAGCACACATATATATGTATAGCACACTCATATCGTACAAGGACTCAAATCTTTTTAAACATTCACATTTGTTACAATCACACACACACTAAAACATTCATATCTATTCCAGGCAAACTACAGATTGTCCCAAACAGATATCTGCACTCATATCCCTTGCAGATAACACATGTATCTGAGACACAGATCATGGTACGATGCACATACAGATATTTCATACAATCACATCTGTATGCCTCTCTTGTTTTCAGTGTCAGGATTAGGTGAGCTACAGAACTTTGTGTGACCCCAGTACTGACTGAAAGTACTCAATGTCAGGGGGTGGTTGGGTAGCCCAGTGGTTAAAGCATTCACTCGTCACACTGAAGGCCCGGGTTTCGATTCTCCACATGGGTACAATGTGTGAAGCCCATTTATGGTGTCCCCTGCTGTGATATTACTGGAATATTGCTAAAAGCGGTGTAAAACTAAAACTCCCTCACTGTCTCAATGTCAGCGTTAGGTGAGCTACAGAACCTCATGTCTTATCACTGCTCTCAGATTTGATGATTATGTTTTTATTATTGTTGCAGATGTCAATGAATGCAGCATCAACAACGGTGGCTGTCATAGTGATTGCAGCAACACCATTGGCTCCTTCCAGTGCAAGTGTCCTAGGGGCTTCGAACTCACTGCAGAAGGAAAACAATGTCAAGGTAGGTCATGTGACCTTTCACCTGTGTATTGGATACCTGACATATTGCATGGTTGATGTGGGGTGACAGATAACAGATATTGGATACTGGTTTCCATGTTACCTGTAACATACCTGTAACATAACAATGGTAACACTCTGCTCCTTGGGTGTCTGTTTGAACCGAATGAAATAATATTCAGTGCCACATGGCAATATTCCAGCCAGATTGTGACAAAGAATGTTGAAGGACATTATGTCTGTTGTAGAACTAATGTAGTTATACCACAGCCACTCAGGGGTCCAAGAACCTGTGTTTATCGAACAATTTCTTGTAATTCTTCAGTAACATAATTGTGAAACATTAGTACTAACATTAACCACTGGTGTATTGACCATCATACTTGACAACAATGATTTTTCCTTGCACCAGTGACCAATGGTTTGCTGGATTTGGCTTAATTAAGCCAACGGTATATAATTGTTATCCCCCGCAACGCGTTTTGGGGGGGGGGTATTTAAATGGACTCCGTCCGTGCTTCCGTCCGACCTTCCGTGCACATTTGTCTTTTCCGGAGCAGAACTCTAAAACTGTTCACTATTTCCTTACCAAACTTGGCACATAGATAGATCTGGTGGTGTACTGGTGCCGTTTGGTAGTTTTGGAATTCTGAATAAAATATTTTTGGCGTTTCCATGGCAACAAGTTTGACTTCGAATGAAATTGGTGGTAGTGCTCTTGTTCGGAGCTGAACTCTAAAACCGTTCACTATTTCTTCACCAAATTTGGCACATAGATAGATCTGGTGGTGTACTGGTGCCTTTTGGTAGTTTTGGAATTCTGAATGAAATATTTTTGGCATTTCAGTGGCAACAAGTTTTGACTTAGTCTGAAATTGGTGGTAGTGCACTTTTCTGGAGCAGAACTCTAAAACCGTTCAATGTTTCTTCACCAAACCTGGCACATAGATAGATCTGTTGGTGTACTGGTGCCTTTTGGTAGTTTTGGATATCTGAATAAAATATTTTGGGCATTTCCATGGCAACAAGTTTGACATAGACTGAAATTGGTGATAGTGCTCCTTCGTGGAGCAGAACTTTAAAAACCTTTCAATACTCTCCTTCCACTTTTCTATATACACACCTAAATATTTAACATAATCAAAACTCGTAGACATAATCATGAAAAGTATTTTGCCATTGTGGGGGATATTGATGACTTTGTCTTCTTGTTTGATTGGTATTGTACACATTGGAGGGATGGAGGGGTAGCTTAGTGGTTAAAATGTTGGCTCGTCATGCCACAGACCCAGGTTTTATTCCCCCATGGGCACAATGTGTGAAGCCCATTTCAGGAGTCCCCTCAACGCCAACCCCAACCCCGTTGTGATATTGCTGGAATATTGCTAAGAGTGATGTAAAACTTTGTTCTCTGACTCTACACGTTGGTGAGTAATAATAAAACGTACAATTTCATGGACGAGAACCAGAATTTGTTATTCATAATATTGTATGTTTTCTCACCAGAATACAGCTGTAATATTGCTGATGAGCGTTGGTGAAATCTGACTAACTCACAAATATATCTGTCTAATATCTGTATATTTCTATCTGTATGTATCTGTATACCTGCATAACGGTTTCAGACATCGATGAATGTGCTAACCATAACGGTGGATGTCAACATAAGTGTCTCAATACTAAGGGCGGCTTCAGCTGTGAATGCCCCAAGGGTCAAAGGCTACATGCTGATGGCCGAACCTGCATTCGTAAGTGCACAGCATGGCATGATGATGTTTGGTGAAACTAACCAGTTTTCTTTCAGGCAATGTAAGACAAATGTGGTAACTGGGAACGAAAACATGGAGGGAAGGTTTGGAGGATGTTTAGAATAGAATGGATATTATTTTTATATTTTGAATCAATGTATGATGAACAATTGATGGATGTACAAGTCACTCTGTCTATTTGCACAAAGAATTACCCCGGGTTGGAAACAAGTTATTTTTAAGGAATTTATTCAGAAAATTGGTAGATATTTTCCCCTTACTACAGATCCTGGAACTAAGGATGGTTGTTGTGCCCTTGTGTCGGTTTCAGTCAAGGGAGTTTCAGTGTTCATGGAAGTCCTACTATTTATGACTGATTATCTCCCCTTAAAGCACTCTCGTCAGATAAAGTATGATGTATGTATTACTTACAGGATAAGTCTTTTGATGGCCCCTGGGTAATGCTTTCTGTAATATGTTTGTGCTTATTTACTACATAGTCTAGAGTATGATAGATCATGGTTCCAGCGCCGCCGCCTGGTTAAGGGTTTGCCATTATCACGTTAAGAGAATTTAGGATGTTTAACCTGGTACGACTAGCTTCTCCATCTGGCGATATGACGTTATCGAATACGATACTACTCTCAACCCTGGCCTCGGCCAAGCAAAACTGACATATTGAATCACTTTTTGAAAGTATTAAGATAAACCTCTGCCTCATTGAGAGCTATCTCTTGTGATGATGGTCATATCTTCATATTATCATATCATCATATCTGTCTCATATTCCATGATTTGGGGTAACAAAAGTTGTGTTTATCAATATTTCATGTTTAACTGCTTTCATTTTGAATTTAGTATTAAATATTTACATTCAACATTACGATATTTGTGTTGAGCCATTTTGTGTTCAGATGTTAGCATTTAGTGTTTTGATCATTTGTAAGAAATTATTCAGCAGTCATTGTTTATCATTAGCCTTCAACATTTAGCATTCACATTCAACAGTACATTTAAGATTACATTCAACATTAGATTAACCATTCATAAATCGTATTATAGTCTGTTTGACTTCGTTTGAGATCACATGCTGGGAAAACAGCCAGGTGTGAGTTGTAAGTGTGAAATTGAAATTTCACTCCACACGCTTGTTGATTACCTGGAAGTTCTACCAGCAAGTGGTCCCCCATCATAAGAAATAGCGATAAGCGACAACAAAATAATGACCGTTTGTTAAACAACTTTTATATTCGGGTGTCCAAAATTATGAGACAAATTATCAGAATTGGTCTGTCGATTTCATGTGACTGCAAAATTTGGTTTTGTTGCATTTATTAGATTTTGTGTTAGTGAGCATTTCATCGGTCTAAAATGAATTCAAACGGACTATACAAGTCTTCACCATTCCAGCCTAACTGTACAAGTGATATTGATACTTTCCACCAGAATCTTACTCAGCCCAGCATGGTTACTACGTGATTCCATGAAGATTAAGTTCACTTCATAAAGCATATATAGATACACTGCTCAAAAGAAGTCAAGGAACACCCAGTTCTTCCATATGATTACAGTTAATCTCTCATGACATATTTCATATGAAAGTATTGGGTGTGTTTTAACTTTTTTTGGTACTTTCAAAATGTAATCATTTCCCTTGAAGATACTTTTATCAGTCGCAGTCATATTTCAATAATTTACCATTAGGAAACAGCATTCGTACATAGATTGAGGTAGTTTATTGTCACTATGAATGATAGTATTCTCGTATGTCATGTGTGAGTAAAGCCTTAAGATATTTATGTGGTAGAACTTTAGTGAAAGCAACATAGGAAGGGAGCTGACAAAGCCAGGAATATCATCCTGGCAGGTCGTTGTGGTGGACCCCTTGGTCACCAGTATGAACAGACAGGCTCCTCATTAAACAGGATAATTCGAAGTGTAAAGTGATTGTATGGCATTTAGAAGTGATACACAAAAAGGGGGAATATATGGATGTCAGCCTCTGTAATATAAGGAACACCACATTCCAGAAGGAACACCAGAGTATATTCTTACTCCCTCACAATATGCACCTGCTATTCCTCATATTACAGAATTTGACATCCATATATTCCCCCTTTAATTAGAAGTGGTAAGGAAAGTACAATTTGCTGTTTAATTATTTGAAAGTCACGTGTGAGGAAGTGGGTTAGTGCCTCCAGCGCAGGTCCCAACTCTCTAGTATCGGCATGGTATGCACACATCCATGTACTGTGATTACGTTGGAGATATGGTGATAATTACTTCATACAAGGTCAGAGGTGGCCATGTTTTTCATTCGAGTAGATCAAAGTTTATCCCCATTGATGGGAAGCACTCCATCTCTCCCCAGGATGGGGAAGTGTTGACAAGTGCAGACCACTAATGAAAATGAATGTGGAGAATCTGTCACGGTGGTAGTACTGCCACAGTCTGGGGACAAAGTGGTGCTTGGTAAAAACACCAGATGGTGGCAGGTCTCTGTGTTGGCAGTCACTGTTGTGTGGGGATAAACTGGGCTGTACCGAGGTGCTAGAAGAAGGAGGATGGGTTTCAGAGGGATCTTTAGGGTAGATTCACATTTAGTCCAGAAATAAAAGTCATCGTATTTCAAAATGAATATCTTTAAAAGTAAAAAAAAATACTTTGAAAAGGAGACTAAAACAGAGATACAGCAATCAAGACTTGCCCTATCATTCTACACTTGGCTCTTCTTCATATATTAGCTGACTAACACTAGGGCTATACTGAGATGTATATTAGAAGCAAGAATATGGAGGTTCACAGAGGGACACATCAGGGCTATTCTGCATATTTGTACATATATGATATAATTTGTCCCTGTTATTTTTTTATTATTATTAGAATTTGATATTATAATTTTTTCTTTTATATCATTTAATACCATGGTAAGATATTTGTTAAAACGAGAAAGTTCAAGTTGCTTCAGCTTGATCATATTTCGATATATTTCATGAGTGGGCAATATACATTTAGATGCAATTCATTGGTGTTTATATACATTGTTGTATCTCTACTGTGTGGAGGTGTATAACACATATAACTAACAGGGGGAGATGACAGCACCATGATGCCGTCTTGTAGTCCGTGCCCTGGTGATTTGTTCTCTTTGTAATCAGTTCAGATTCCTCAAACACTGCTGTAGGTTTTCAATTTAAAATCTGGAGAAGATAATCATTGTGAGTAATTGGTATATACTGCAATGGAATGTGGTGGGTGAGTTGTAGAAACTGTACCATGACATGGCATGACATAGCATGACACGGGTTTATCATACATGACGATGTAGAAGCTGGAACAAAGCAGGACGCTTGTCAAGTGTTCGCATCGAGTTAGGGGGAGGGTGTTGATACACCCAGTGTGGTAGGTAGTCCTCCCTGATGCATGGAGGCAACAAACATTACTCCCACCCCAGTATATCCCCCTTGACCTCTCTGACACAACCTTGGACCTTGTGACCTTGGACCTGTTGAGGTTAAGAGATGTCGTGCATTGCAACCTGAGGCTGTTTTTACAAACATTTGTTAATTTCCCTTAAAGCATGTACGTAAATAAGGACATTTTCTCCTATTGTTGCCAAGCACGTTGTAGAAGAGCTAGGAAATCAGATATTTGTAGTGAGTGTTTCAGAAGTTAATCTTACAGAAAGTTTCTAAAAAGTGATGATAGAATCTACAGTGGACCCAATAACCGACCCAGCACAGTGCCAGTGTACAGATAACACAGCAACCAACAGAATTCCCAGGATCATCCGTAAGGTGGGGGTTTGATCGTCTGGAATGTGGGGTTTGATCATTGTGTAGGTGGGGTGTGATCATTTGGTGTGAGGGGTTAAGATGGGCTTTGATAGTCTGGAAGGTGAGGTTTGGGATTAGAGGGTTTGGATTAACTGGGTTGAACAGAATGTATCATACACCTTAGAGTTATCTTAACCGCAGATGCAAATGCTTTTATTTTAAGCATTAAATTTACATCACAGAAAAAATATTATCTTTTGGGATTTGTCCAGGATTTTCAGTTAAGTACCTGTGACCGACAAACTTGGAAATACAAGAAATATCCATAAACATATTTTATTAGATCTATCTTTTTATCAAATCTAGAGGAGTTCAGACATTAATTAATTAAAGTCAGTAATTAAGAGTTCACTTCAGCCCTTTTTTGAACCTGTAATCTGTGAAATGCAAGGCACATTTACAGAGTTTGTGGTGAGATGATTAGAGTATCTCCAGTCTGAGAATGTTTGCTGGCATTTAATGTCAATCTTGGACTGAAGAAGCCTTTGAGAATGCCTTCTAAATTTCTTTTATCTTAATCTGTTGGTTTTGAAAAAAACAAACATTATCATATAGAATACAAGACGTGAGTCTAACATTCCAGTTCTCTTTTGAGAGCAAGCCTATTGTGTGCAGATTGTGCAAATTAGACAGGAATACTTTGTTGTAATTTAATTTGAATTGAGTTCATAAAGGATTTGTTATGTTAATCTGACTGGTATTTTGCATGTTTCCATGGCAAAGTTTAGTTTGTGTAGACATCGATGACAATGACCATGAGAGCACCATGCCCCAAACACTCAGTCTTTAGGAAAACGCCATATTTTGTCAGTAAATTATGCAGCATGACCGCTCAGTTACTCTTTAAGGATATGATTATGGAAACACAATTGAACTTCCTAACCTTCCCCTGGGAATCAATAGAAAATACCTCCAAGGCAGTGATTATGGCGATATGATTAACTTTAATTTCCTCCAATTTCGCTCAGTGAATCTGAGACTATTGTTCTTCATGAAGATCCTGAACTGTTACTTAAAACTGTTCGGACCACTTGTGCCGTCATGGGGAGATAAAATAACAGAGAATGCGCTCCAGATAATAGCATCCTGCTATGACAGCTGAATGGACAGCTCTCTACTCTTAAAATTTAAATTATTTTTACAATATGGTGTCATAATTTGAAA